AGAGCAACCCAGCAGGGGCAGTCACAACACAGTGTGTGTTTGGGGGGGGGGTTGGGGGTGAATGTGGGTCTATATGCGCGTGTGCACCTATGTGTAGAGGGCAGAGGCCAACCTTGGAAGCTGCCCATCTTAGTTTTTGAGACCCATTCTCTCACTGGGACCTGAGGCTCGGTGCATAGGGCAAGGCTGATTGCCTGTCTCGGTCTCCCAGGCACTAGAAATACACATGCCTGGCCACTATACCGCTCCCAGTTTTTTACAGGGGTTCTGGGGACGGAACCCAGATCTTAACTCACGCTTGCACAGTGTCACTGCATCATCTCCAGTCTGCTAGAGGCTTTATAGCCCCAGATCTCTGCTCCTTCCTGGGAAAACAGCCACAGTAGCAACTACGCTGTTTCCCTGTGGACTGGTGCAGGCATTAAAGAGATCACGAATGGACAGGACCTCATCCAAACTCTGACCCTTTCTAGGTCCTCCACAAAATGAAATCCATAGTAACACTACGGCTATATTAGCTATTTTCATGACTGTAAATACTCATCTGGATGAGTAAGGCCTGCCTTGATGTGGCCAAAGGGAGTAATGATTAATGGAACCCAAGATTCCAGACTACCATATTAAAATCAGCATGTTTGCACGTGTTCGCAGTGTAACAACTATCCCAAGAATGTGTTTTTCTTCCTCAGGGTCTGGGGAATTTACCATACGTAAAGATATAATCAGCTTCCCCTGTAACAACTCACTCAAGAGCAGCTAGCTCTCCTCTTCCTCCCATGGGAGTTTTAACCAACTTCCAAGAAGTAGGTTGAGCTGGTTTGCCAGCTTGTGGCCAGCAGACACCTGTAACTTTGTTGTCTGGGAACCTGCAGAGCCAGTCCTCCAGGTAGTGAGGCCACTCAGGTAAAATGTCCCAGCAGGTGCTCGGGGAAGGCCCAAGGGATAGGAGGACAGACAACTGACCAGAAAAGCAATTTAACAAATGCCAAGTCTCAAAGGCAGACACGGGCCCTGTGGGAGACAGGCCCCAGGGCTCCAAGGGCAGGGCAGTCTTCTGAGGTTCCAGGTCACAAGGAAACAGGTGCACGTCACGTGGCCAGTGGGACAGGCGTGGAGGTTCAGTCTCTTTGTTCTTTTCTCATCCTTTCTTCCCCTCTCTCCTCCTGACTGGGAGGAGGCCTGTTAAGTAAGAGGAGGCCCAGATTGCACTGAGGGAGGTGAAAGGGCCTGGGGTAAGGGTGGGCTGAGGTACCCTCTCTTCCTGCCAGCAAGCAGGCAGTGCTATACGTGCAATGGTATTTTGGGGTCTCTCAGACCATGAGAGACCAAAGCTTGCCAAGCAGCTGCTCCTGTGACTGAGACCTGGAGACACCTGGCAGCCCCCTGCCCTAAGCCCCACTTCTCTGTTCCACCACTAGGGACACTTTCTCCAGGATCACTAAGACCTCTTCAAGGTCCATTACTATAAGGAGCCTTCCAGGACAGTGCTGTCCCAACTGGTCTCAGCTGGTTGTGAAATGTTTCCAAAACTGGCTCAATGAGACGCAGTTCCCCAACCCCAAAGGTAGTTTAACAACTGAATTCTCTCCAGGAGGTGGTGGCAAGCCATGTGGACATTGGGATCCAGAGATAACTACCTGTGTTATCTGTGAAACCACAGTGGGACCCCGGACTTGTCTATCCTCTCTTACAACACAGAGCTAACAGTATGGGAAGTGGCCAAGCCACAAACGCTAATGGTTCTGTGGTTCTGTGGCTTTCTGTAGTTCAAGCCTCCTGCCCTTTAACTTGTTTTTTGTTTTTGTTTTTTTTCTGGACGCATGTTGCTTTCAAATCTTTGAGCCCAGTAGCGGCCAATGTCCAGCCCTGTTTCTATGCCCACTGCATCCATCACAAGACAGATGCTGCCTTCCCAGAGCCAGCTCAGTGGAAGCCAAGACGTTGGGTTGCTGTCTCTAACTAGAGCAAAAGCAAGTGAGCCGGGAGCTGCCTGCATCGCAACTTCAGTGGGGAGATTGTGAAAACCACCCACAGCTAAGGCGAGGGCAGCCAACTTGGCCATGCCTGGCCCAGTCCATCCCCCTCCCCCCGCTGAAGACTGCAGGCTCTCTGTTTTACTGTGAACTGGGGCACTGCCACCACTCCACCAACAAAGCCGCCAAAGGTTGAGGGTGGACATTAACGACGGACTTTCATTCCCTGCGTCCCCCCCCCCCCCCGCCCCGAAGTGATTAAACTGCTTGCTGTAGAAGGACTTGTTAGAGAGTAAAAAGAATGGACGGTGCTGGCGTTGGTTAAGTCAGAGTGAGAACTAATGATTAATGGGGGTAGCAACGCTCCACACACCACACACCTGCACACTCTCCTCTACCGCACAGCACACGCAGCAGCCTGTGCACCACTGCCCACTGTGCAAACACACAGGCAGCAGCACAACTGGTGTGGCTGCCCTGAAGCTATGACATGAAAAGTCACTACCTGTGTGCTGTTAACAGGAAGCCAGGAGGGCTGCACGCACCTGGTTGAGAGAGACACTCAGAGCCCCAGTGGGAGACACAACACATACGCCGCAGGGTCCCACGGAACAAGTAAGCCTCCTCTGACACTGGGAACAGGAAACAGGAACAGTCACCAGGCCAAGGCTGCCACAGATACTCTCTTCCCTGAATAACACAAATGAGCAGGGCTTTTCCTGCTTCGCCCAGAGAGCACTGTCTGGCTGTGCTCAGCCCCAGCCTGTTTCTAACAGCGAGACAGACCCTGGATGAGAAAGCGGGGAAGGGACAGAGTGACTGTTTGGGAAGGAGCCAGAAGGAGACACCAGACCCGTCTCACCCCAACTAGCTGGGTATCATCTCTGAAACTCAGAATTAAGCAGAAATAGACAGCAAAGGGTAAAATGTACATACATACACATATAATTTTAGTTTTCTTATTAATTCAGTGGACTTTTTTAAAAATTTGGGTTTGCTTTTAAATGAATGCTTCCAATAAGAAATTAATTCTGGTAAAAAAAAAAGTCATGTGAATCTCTGAAAAGACAGCAGAATCCTATTCTAGCTGTAGTGAAAAAGAACTCTTGACCCCTCATTTTTAAGAAAATCATCTGTTAAGTACAGCTCTCAACTTTGCTAACACTGCTGTGCCCAGGTGTTAACAGCCCAGGAGATAAGTCACAGAAAGGGTGGACCCCATAACGACCAGGGAAGAGAGCAGGTACCATGACGGAGGAGCCACAGGAAGAGGACTTACTTGGGTGTGCCACTGGGCTTCCAGTACCTACAAAAGAGGTACTGTCCGTCTGCGTTGATCAGGTGAGGCAAGTCCTGGTAGGGAACATTCTGTGGAGTTCGCCTGGGAGAATTTGCCTCAGGCATTCTGCTGAGGTCTTCTGGCCCTTGGAAGAAAGGTGGACATATTCTAAAGTCAGAAACACACTCATGCCCATTTGGGAGGAAAGGAAGCCGTGTCAGAGTCAGGACTGTGGCTTTTTTTTTTCTAAGCACCTCAATTTGAGATATATATATATATATTAAAATTACATACATCTCTTGCAAGTCTCTCCAAGACTGAAAATCCCATTTGTTTTTAAGAAATGCTCACTTTATTTTTTAAAGTGCCTCATTACAGCCCCTCCCATATGTGTTTATTTTAAATCATCTCAGGAAACTTCATCTTAAAGACTGTTTTAGCTGTAATCAAGCGGAAATTACAGTCAGTTCCGTGGGTACAAAGCCCCAGCTGCAAGGACCCATCTCTCCTAAAATCTCCACTGAGTGGATTCTAGGGGGGCATAATAAGTAGGTGACGCGCCCCCGAGCGATTTTCCCCTTCTGAATGCCAAAGATGCCATGACAAACCTGTTTCCATTCCGTCCTGGCTTTTGCATTCCACTACCGCCACAGCCTCGAGTATCAGCGCCAGGCGAAAGAGGGCTGTTCCCTCATCGCGGTCGCAGGGCAGCACCGCGGGGTCTGCGCCCTCCCCGCCTGGGCTGCAGGGGTGCGAGCAGCTCCCTCCTGCCTCTCCAGCGCTAGTTCATGTCACCACTTTTCCAGAACACACCCCTGAAGGGGTTCCGGGAGCGAGGGACAGCGGTCCCCAGCTCGGAGCTGCAGCGAGACGCGCTCCGCGGCACCGCGCATTCGCGCAGATGCGGGTCCCCGAGCAAAGTCACCCCGATTCTCCGACAAACTTTGCCTCCTGCCCGCCCGCGACCGCTTGGGGAAGCAAGCCCCGCGGCTGTCATCGGCACGCCACACGCGGCGGGGACTTGGCCGGTGTCCCCACACCGGGCTGGAAAGATGTAGTTGACTGGCACAAGTCGGTTTGGGGGTTGGTGCGAGGGCGCGAGGGGCGCGCTCACGCGCACGAGCTGACACGCGCGCACACTCGTGCGCACGCACACGCGCGCAGGGGACCCCTGGCGGCGGCTCCTATCCTGAGGCAGGGGCGGGAGGCAGTTACCCGGGCCACGAGCGCCGCTGTCACGTCCCCCGAGCACCACGCGGGTCCGGGTCTGCGGCGGG